ATTTAATAAATCATTCAATATTCATATTTTAGTAAGCACAACAGTAATAAGTATGATATATTCGAGAAAGATCTTTCTTTTTTATACTATTTTGTTTTCTATACAGCAACTATTAGGATAACTCCGTCGAATTTACTCGTTAATCCAGGTGCTGAATATGATACGCTTGTTCTATAAACCAATGATGATATAGATACGGCAAGAATAGATGATGATTCGATAAAATCCTGATGTAATTCTCATTCTGGCACTGAACAATTTTATGGTGATTCAAATAGTACTCTTACGCAAAGTGTTCTCTTACTTAATAGTACTCAAGGATATACAGAAGCGTCATTGGATAGTGATAATTTATCAGCTTGTAGTAGTTTTTATGAATGAAGGTACTCTCAATGTCATAGTACAGATAAAGCTCAAATAAGTTTAACCTTTCAAATATTGTATCAGTATTTGATATCAATAATGACTACGTCTCTATTTTTCATGCACGAGTAACTGGTATATACAATCATTTTCTCATCCATTACCAGTAGGAACACGTCATATCGATTACATTATGATATTCAATGAACACATAGGTAATTCTATTGATTCATATTTGAATGATAATTCTTTTCAAGTTTATTGATTAGTTTTCAATATTATTTAAACAAATATTTCGAATTAGATTTTATTTCTATACATTCATATCAACTGAAAAAAATCTTCTAAGATATTTAATTTTGTATTTGCTTTGAACGAATAAATAAATTATGTTAACTGATTAGTTGCAAACAAAGACAGAAAAGTTCAATAATAATTCAAGCATAAACAATTATACGAACAAAGTTCGATGACAACTCACTTAAATCATATCGTATATATATATATATAAATCAGTGAGTTGTCTTGTCGTAATCACTATTTCTCGTTCATTGAACGATAAATATATACTATTCACAGTACATAATGTCTTATTTGATCGATATCTCAGCAAAAGAAAATAAGCATACATTAGTCTTTCATCATCCTTTTGACATTTTTCCAATTAAATATCGAAGGTTATTTAGTAGTACTCGAAAATGTAATTGTTCATATGTTGAAGGTTACATCATTCGCACATAACATACATATATGCATAAAGCTGAACCATGGTTATGATCGATCATTGCCGTTATACACGTGTAGAGAACGATGCATACAAGATGAGACACAGTCATGATGATGATCACTACCTTACTAAATAAAACAAATTGACTCGTGAATATATATACTTGTATATATATATATATATATGTATTTGTATCACAGTATTTATTGACATTGAAGAAAAGAAATGCAGCATATCACTATCCTACTTTACATTCGTAAATGGAATCCTAATTGATACCACCCGCTTGTATACTTCTAAATAGATCCGTCATTAAATGTATTAGTATCTCTTTTCTTTTTCTCTTATTACTGTGTCAAGGTAAAATTCTTCGTTCTATTCTATGTTGTATTCTCTAATTGATGTTTATATATGTTCATGTATATCTCTAGATCCTAAGTTGCGAGTAATATTAGAAGTGACGACAGTTCGACAGTTAGTCTCTTCTCCTTCATGGATGGCCTCCTAGATAAGTGATGTAATCTTTTGAGAGAATAACCTTGTAATGAATTGATGCTGAGCAGAAAGAAAAAGAAGAGCATAAGAGTGATCAAAAATCTAAATGGATAATATCTTATAGTATATCTATTTACTCGAACAGTAGCCCAATTCTCTCCTTCTTCTTCTTCTTCTTCTTCTTTGCTTACGCTTTTGATTCATTTGATATTTTATTTGTCACTTCTATTCAATCGTAATAGTGAACGATGGTTGAACGTGGGATCGCGTCAATTCATCGGCTTAGACCTACTTATGTCCTTAATTTGTTGTTGTCGTTGTTATTATTGTGACTGAACAGAAGCGAAAAGAACAAACGAGAACGTCGTCTCTGTTGTTGTTCATGATCCTTGTACACGTCTATTTAGATTACTGTCTCATTTTATTTCATTTCTCTGAATTCTTTTTTTTTTCTTTGTCTCTTTTGATCGTCGTCATCGACTCATTCAGATCTGAGAAGATGCACGAAAAAAAAACCTAAGTATGTTACTCGTAATAACAAAATCAAAATAGAACTTAAAAATAATAGAATCATACAAATTTATAGTTTCTTGTCTACACGCCCCTTTTCTTCATCTTTTGCATGTTTACATAGACTATCAGTCTTTTCATCACTCAATCACTACTATGTATCGTAGTATGTCTTTTTAGTCCGTTGTACTCATTCTCATTTTCCT